AGTCTAGACACGTGACCAGCCTCCTGTCAGACAAAAGGCATGGTGAAGTGGAATTTGGCATCTGTCCTTAAGCTTGAATGTCACACCTTGACATTTGATCGGACCAATTTTTAATGATAAATTTTTAATATTCTCTGCTTTTCTTTAGATTTGGGTCTTTCTCTGTTTTATATGGTCATTGTTGCCAGGTCCTTTTCTGCGTGTTTTGTCCTTATTTCGTATATTTCTCTGTAGAGGGGAGCAGGCTGGGTGGTTTTGGGAAGAGAGTAGCCGGATGACTGACTGCCTTGGCGGCACCGGAGGGGAGGGTGGGGGCCCTAGGGAGCCAACACCTGTGGATCCAAGAAGGAAGAAGAGGTTCACAAGTGGATGGTGGCGATGGTTGTACAACCCTTCAGGATACGATTGAACCGATCGAGTGGTACGATACATTACAGCTCCGTGAAACTTCAACACATAGAGCGATACATGAAAAGTGCAGGATGCAAAAGTCTGTGCTTAACTAATCTCGTTAGGCTCGCATGCTTCTCTTGCATTTTATATCATCATTCAGTTCTTTACTATGGGCGGTGCATTTGTGAGTGGTTTCATTTTTTCTTTTCTGTCGTTTCTAAATTCCCTACCACAAGCATGTGATAACATTTCTCTAAAAGCAAAGAAGACTTTGTAAAAGCCACTGTAGCCAAGAACGAAAACATTGGTTCTTCTCTTTGCGGTCAGTCCTACCCTTCTCCCGTGCCTCCCCTGAAAGGCAGCCCTGCTCGCTGGCACGGTGGGTTGGCTGCTGGTTCCGGAATGCACTGTGGATGGCATCGCGCATGTTCCCGTGTCTGCTTTGTTTGAGTCCTTTGGTCCTTTTTGATTGCTGGTTAATATTCCGTTATGTTTTTGACATTTATTGTTTCCACTATGATGAGAGTGGAGACATTTACTATGACATCTCCACTATTTGCAGCTATCATGACTAACTAAGACCTCCTCTGTTATGCGCTAGTGCCTCTTTGCAGCTACTGTTGTGGTGGTCGTTCTTCCCGACATCCGCCCTGTTCCCTGTGGTCTCACAGATGCCCTCCTGGAGTGGACCCTCTGCCTTCCCAGCAGATCCTGGCACTTAATGCCCTGGAAGTTAGTCAATACAGATGCCCTAGGGCTGAAAGGGAACACATTTTTCCAGCTTATCTTTTTCCAGGAAGAAGAGTCACTGATAATGCTAATTGATCACATGAGCCACTCCCGCAAAGCTATTGATTTCCCTTGTTAGATATTAATTTTAATCGCATCCTAGTGGCCCTCAACAGTGCTGTCTAAATTATACAGTGGCTGAGCGCCATTCCCCACCCCCGCCCCTGTAAGTTGCAAAAGAGCTTGCAAAGCTGTTTGACTCCGTGGCTGTCACCTGGTGGTAGCACCAGGGACTGAGTTAGGGAGGGTTGGCATTTGGGCAATGAATGACCAAGTTACTTATGATGAGGAACTAGCATAGGATGGGGCTTCAAAAAATTCATGGAAAAATGGAAGTGGAAGACACTGAAACTTCTTGAAGCCCCCCAGTCCCCCCCTCTCACACACACAGCAGTAGAAGAAAGAAAAAACGTGTTCAAGACGGTTTCTGTGACAGACTTTTACTTTCTGTTCACCGTCAGGTAGCCAGGGGCTTAGGATGACTGCGTGCGGCACACTGCATCTCCAGGGCAGGAAAGTCTGGTCTTTCATCAGGCGAGACTGTGATGGGATTTAGCCAGTTCCCACCGATTCAACAGAACCGATGATTTTTTTCATTGAGTTCGGTGAACTGGTTGTTAAAACGACCCTTGTAATCTGGGTTCTTCCAAAGGTGGGAGCTAGGCAACTCCCAAGGTGGAAATCACAAATGTATATTCCTTGCTGTTATTAAGGTTCACCTGTGCAACCGTGTGTTCTCTGCACCCAGAGGGATGTTCTGTCTGCTCATAGACGTACACAGTTAGATGGAACTGTGTAGCATTCACACCTTTCACAAAGCTCTTGGTACACAAAGCTCAGATGAGACCCTGCGTTCTTATCCCCCTGCGTTTGTTACTTCAGTAACGGAAGTGCCAGGCTAGCAGAGCGTGGCACGCTGTCCTCCTCGGAGACATTCCGAGTGAATTAGGCAGTTTCTGAAAGTGTCCAACGAGCTAACCATTTTGTCAGAACAATGTCTAAGTTCAGCACAGACGCAGATTAACAAACTATGTTCAGCGAAGAGAAGTCCCCTGTGTCTTGTATATAAAACACAATGGCAAGAAACCACCAAAAGACACAATGGCTGCTGTCTGCTCGGCCCACCCGACTCCTACAGTGGAAAGATGGGTCAGGATGAATCTCACAGCCGATGATGCTTGGCTGAAAGAGAAGACGATGCTGATCAAGAAGCAACCTAGAACTATCTTAAATGACATTTTTACTGGTTTTTTGGTCAGGTATTACTTAATACTTTTCATTACCATTTAAAAACACTTTCTTATAACACAATTGAGTTTTGCATACCCCTTTTATTGTTTTTATTGAAGTACCAAGATGTCAAACAATAAACTGATTTTCAGCATTTCTTTTTTTTTTAAATACTTAACAGTCATTAAGGCAATGAACCGGTTAAATTATTGGCATCCCCCCACTGAGCGAGACCCATAAACTGTGCTACCCGAGGGGCCAAGACTAGCCTAGCTCATAAAGAGTGGCTTAAAGGTATGACGACTTTCTGTTCCTTTAAGTGGCCCAGGTTGCATTCTTAGAGCAAATGAAATCGTCAGAGAGCCTTAAGTCATTCCACTACTTTTGCCGCCTTATACAAATAACCTATTATAGGTTTTACTCTGACATCACCCCGACTGAGGGCCAGTAAAATAAACCGGCATTAGAAGCTGGGCATTGCATTTACTGTGGAGAGGTGATTGCCGTTACACTTCAGATAACGACAGCCCTCGAGTTTGAGAGTCTGCTGTTTGCTGGGCTCTGTGCTAAGTAAATCCTCTCTGTGTTTGCGTCTCTACGTACGTGAACGCCTTGTGCTAAGTGAGAACCCGATACAAAAGGTTGCATATTAAATTCCATTGGGATGAGCCATCTAGAACAGGTGTAGACTGAAAGCAGACTTGGTGGACCTGAGAGTGACCCCTCATTGATAAAACGAGCTCTGGGGTGGGGGGTGGGGGTGGGGGTGAAATGCCTCGGGACCAGTCCGTGGTGATGGTTGGGAAACACTGTCAATGTCCTCATTCCCACTGAACGGTAACACATTAACCCTGGAAATGGTTAAAGGTTAACTTTAAGGGACACGAATGTCACCTCTTTAGAGATCTAGGATGCCAGTGTCGGACCCACAAGAGTCCCTTCACGCCATCAAATAGCAAGTCAGTGTTCCAATTTCCAGTCGTCCGACAACATTTTGGAAAACGCTCTTTGGATCCAGGACCCACATGAGGGCCGCACATTGTGATTATTGATATGCTTTTAAAACCGGCGTTTTTCATAAGCGGCGGTCTCCCTCCTTGCCTCGCTCTCTAGTTGAAGAAACCAGATCACTCCGGCAGGGCTGCCGCTCAGAGTCTCGATTTTCCGATCGCCATCCTGCCGTATGCCCTTACCTGTTCCTCCCCCTTCCGTTTCTGGTGCCTTCTGGTTTGACCTTGAGGATGGGCTCAAGTTCAAGGGCGAGATCATTTCATAGGGATGCTTTTCCCTCTCTCACCCCTTGTCTTTGCCAACCCCCCTGAGCCCACAGACCTTCTGCCCTGATCCTCCTTGCCGAAGCGAGCTCCTACCTCTGGGCCTTTGCTGTAGCTGCTTCCTGGGCCAGGAACACTCTGAGTCTCCCCAGTCAGCTCCTGCATGCTGTTCCCGTCTCTGCCTGAATGTCGCTCCTCAGAGCAGCCGCCCCCGCCCCCCTGGAACCCCTGTCCGCTCACAGAACTTCTCCCCACTGCACACTTTCTATTTTTTTAATCACTTTATTGGGGGCTCGTACAACTTATCACAAC